CAGTGAGGAAAGGGTTCTGAGAGCCTTGGAAGTGATATTCGTGATCACCGCGAAATTCTCTATCGAATGGTGTATGAAGTGTCGAAAAATAAATTTCACTGCAAGGCTGCCCTGGGTGCATCTTATTACGGCCCATCTCTACGAGTATAACTCTGCAAGACGAAGCTGTACAAACCTACGCGACATCTTATTCTGATCAGAACACTCAGCACAACATAGCTCCATGTCTGTTAGAACGGACAACCTTAACAATTTTAATTGAAATTTAGAAAAAGGAGGTTTATGAGCTATTAGAAATCTTTTTCAAAAACCTTCATCAAAAAAACGAAAACCCAGCAGAAAATTCTGTAAATCGTCTCATTCTGCACAAAACACTTTCTTCTATTAGACTGTGTGCAAGAAAAAATTTTGAATGTACAGAAAAGGAGAGAAAAGTTCATGAAACTAAAAAATTGAGACCTAATAAACTCAATTTCTTAGTTTCATAAACTTTTTTTCTGTACATTCAAAATTTTTTATTCAATATATAAACTTCATTCTGACAAATATAAATTATTTAACAGTTAAATGGATTTAGAGCACGATTGCATTTCAGGAAATAAATACTCGATTTTTTCCAGTGTAAATTTAATATTATCAGTAGTGTGAAAGTGTATAAACACATTTTTAATAGGTTTTCGAATATGCTCTTTCCAATGATGAGGTTGTCGAAATGCAAAAATATTTTTTATGGGTTTTCCAAAGATCCGATCTCCAGAAAACCTAGAAGCAATTATTTTTGTGTTCTGGAAATCTCACCATTATAAAGAGCATATCTGAAAATCTATAAAAAAGTGGTTATAGACTTTCGAACTACGTCTGTAGCAAATGTCCGCCTGGCCTATGGAAAAATGCACACTGTGGGGGGGGGGGGGGGGGGGGGGGGGGGGGGGGGGGGGGGGGGGGGGGGGGGGGGGGGGGGGGGGGGGGGGGGGGGGGGGGGGGGGGGGGGGGGGGGGGGGGGGNATGTAATTCGAAAAACTATAAAAAATTGTGTTTTTCCATTTAAAATAGCGCGTTTGGAAAATTGGGCGGGGGGGTTTGTAAAATTGGCAACGGGGCGCCCCCCCCCCCCCCCGAGGAGTCATCTCACTCACTCGGATCAGTTAATTTTGACATCGCGAACTCGAAAATGTTATAATCTTGTCTATACCACAACATTCCGGCTCCGTTAGACGTACTCCTAAACACGCTTTCTTTGTGCCATTTTGACCTATATCACCACAAAAAACACCGTGATCTGACTATTAATCGAACCAAACCGATAGAGCTTTTCGTGCTCTACAATTTCCACATAAGAATGAGCTCTTGAAAAGATGGGTATGATGGTCATTTCGGGTAGATACTGAGAAAAAATAATCTATATTAGCCGTCTCTGTTGATTTTTGGCCTTATCTTATCACGAGAGACGTGATTGTCCAACACTGGTTGAAGACAATGTGGAAGAAAGTTTCATGAATGAAATTTTGATTTAAAGATGTTGAACGTGAACAGCTGGCTCGTTTTTGGTCCATGTATCACGGACATTTAGTTTCATGGGATCGAATCCTTTTGTTATTTCGATAGCCAATCATATTTCATCTTATGCAGATTATTAGTATTTATGCGGTGGTGTCCATATTTTCCTTTTTTTGCGACCTTAGAAATGACATTTCATATGCTAACGATCTCAATGGTGACATCTGTAGTGATACTTATCGATTGCCAGTCCCTTCCTTGCTGATTGGTGCATCGGATTCATAGACGAGTGACCGATTGGACACATTTTTCATCATTATTCGTGACCGGGATTTGACATCAATATGTATTTGGAAACATCAGTGGTGACTATGTCCACTTGAATACCCAGTCCAACTTGATTATATTATTATCAATTATTATTGATTATTATTATTAGGAACAGTAATTTCAGTGTGAATGAGATGGTAACAATGATCTTTGCCAGCATTTTCGTGTGATGTTTTGTACTTCAGTTTAATGAAAAAATTCTGAAAACAAAATGTACAGTTATTTACAGATATGAAGATAATAGTCATGATAGTGAGTATCAACTGGTGGTATAGTTGATTTACTACGAAAACGTCGAAAGGTAAAATGTCGACAGGAAAACTATCAAAAATGAAAAATGTCTATATATGAGAGCAAACCGGGATTTATTTCTTCTGCAGGATTTATTAGAATTTATTTATTTCATACGGATTTATTAACGCTATGAAGATTTTCGTGCACCCTCCCTCAACTGCTGTCCCCTTCACCCTCACTTGTGTCTTTGCCTTCACCCTCACCATTGCCTTCGCCCTCACCCTCGAGATAGTGCAAAATTTATTTAAAAACGTGTATGGATCTATTAAAAAATCCCAATAAATCCCGGTAGCTGTTGTTTGTCATTTGTAATAAACGTATTTTCCTTTTTTTCATTGAAATTAAATAAACATTTCATCATCATTTCGACATTTTTCCTTTCGACATTTTTCATTTCGACTTTTTTCTTTCGACTTTTTTCATTTCGACTTTTTTCTTTCGACATTTAGCATACATACCGAGACAGGGTGATTGGATGACATTTATATATATAAACTTCATTCTGACAAATATAAATTATTTGATAGGTAAATGAATTTAGAGCACGATTGCATTTCAGGAAATAAATACTCGATTTTTTTCAGTGTAAATTTAATATTATCATTTTGGTGTATGAAATTTTCAGGATTAGCGAATAAAATATAAAAAGATAAAATAACCGTTCAACTACTGAAGTCAATAAACATCATTTCGTTTTGTTTTCAATTGTATGATAGAAAACAGCAGAACAATCGAAAGCTTTAAATAGCTACATATTCTTCAAATAGCGAGATTTCATTAAAAAGTATCTCTTTTGAGAAGCTACCAGTTGAATCATATTCTAGAAAACAACGAAAGATTTCTTCATCAACTGATCGATCTCGACATATTAAAAATGTTTTGTGATATTGATTATTGATGAAAAATTCATTCTTGCAAATTGATAACGATCATTTGTTGATAAACAAGAGAGTTTTTATAGTGAAAATCCAATTAATCTTCTTTCTCAAGATTGAGATTAAAATAAAGATTGAATAAAGATGGAATTGATCGAAGAATTTCTCTAGCTTCGTCGAAATTTTCTTTGCCTAAAGGAAAATTGTTGAAATCAAGAAAATTTCTTCCTTTTTTTGATCATTTCTTTTTTTAATCTTTGATCATTTCTTCCGATCAACCACCACCATAAAAACCTATCTAAAAACTCGAAAATCATCTCGTTCATTCGACATTTTCCATACCTGACTGAACTCATGGGCAATCAAAATCATTTTCACAGCGATAGAGTATTTCTTTTAATTCACTGGGAAATATATCAGACATCTTCATAGAAAACTTGTTTGACAGTGGATATGAAATGTTCAGATCATTGAAAACATTGCTTTGGCGCAAAAATTCTTCTGATGATAATAGATTGATCGTAATGAACATCAAATAATCACTCATTAAAGACTTTCTTATTAATTGATATTCGTTGTTTGGATGAGTTTGGAAAGAATTGTTGATTAGACTTTCAGACTATTCAGTGTGATCATAGATCAATTACTGATCAAACTGATCATATATATGCACGAAGACATATGTATTGATTTGTTTCATTAATAAATCATTTGTCAGGTTTTTTATCTATATCAATGAAAAGATATTCACTATTTACTTTCGATTATCGAAAGATTTCTCACCTGATGGGTTTTATTAGCATTTAGAGATGAAATGAACATTGATTCTTTTGAAATTCCATCTAAATAAATACTAAAAAAATCGTGTGTTTCTTTTTCTAATCACAAATTTACTGATTATTGCCATTTGAACGTGTTCATCGGTGATTTCACCAAGAAAAAACATAATTTGTCCAGCTTGATATTCATCTTTATACTTTAAAATTCATCGAAGGGTACAAAAGATAATTAAATAAATCTGTTAAAAATGGTAAATTTCCATGAGTATCAATTAATGAAAGAAAATATTCTGTCCAACAATCTATGTAACTCGTACCTGGACCATTATTAATAATATCAATTGGAATTAAAAACAAACCTGAGCTATCCTTCACTGTCCACTGGCATATATATAAAGCGTTTTATTTGAGTGAGTTGACTTATTAGTCCTCGCGACTGCAGCCAATTCTGATGAAAACTCCAGTGTAATAAGAAAAACCTAAGCTCTGTTATGTCTGAATTCCACCGGAGCTTCGATTTCCTCTGTGTTGAGAAACGTTTGTCGTCATGAACGATACATAATAAATCGCAAGAGAAAACAAGCTCCGTACTTTGCAAAAGAAAAAAGCTGACAAAGCACTTGCTGCTTATCACTACATGCAACAATAAAGTACGTCACATATAAAAGTGAAGAAGCAGTATAATTGTTGCTAGCATTACCAGTAGAGTTGTAAAAAAAACAAATTTACTTCTTATCTTATCTTCAGTTTCTATACGCACAAAACAAGCTAAATAGTTGAAAGAAACAGATATTGTGTATTAACCACATACCATCGAACATTTAAGCGCTTATTAAATATGTACATTTAGCCGTACTTTGCCTATTCTTCTTGACTGCGTATATCGAAGAGAGCTTCGATCTTACGGGTATTGACCAACAAATTGTTACTTACAGAGGAGTTAATTTAAGGATCTCATCAACAAAAAAATGATCTGAAGGTGTCTATGAGGCTAGTAAATTCTTTGCGGTACGGCATTCTATTCGAAAAAGGCGAAGAAGCATGGAGCCATTACTAAGAATCAGAAGAATACAAAGAATACTTTGTTCCAACGAACAACATTAGACTGATATTAACAGCATATATAAGCATTTCTTCTTTAAACTCTTATCTGTGACTGCAAATTTTATTTTTATAGTAACATTCGTCATCGCTTCATGGCAATAGAAGCGATAGCTCTAAGGAGAAAACAGCTGATCCTGTAGCATTGAAAACAAAATAATAATGTTGGAGTCAGTCGTATCAAAGGAGTCGGTCAAGTTACTTGTAATAGTCTGGAGTCAGAAGAACAATCAGAGTAGGTCAGAGTTAACAGGGTTATCTGGTCAAAATAGTGACGTGAGTCAGGCAGACAAATAACAAAAAAAGTGGAGTTTCTCCTAGCAAAAAGCACACATTTTAACGCGTTAAAAAGAAATCTTTTTTAAAAACAATGAGCTTTATAAGGTTAATATTCACATAGTTACTAGTTTTTTCAAAAAAAAAGAAATTTTTTAACGTATTGAAATCTGCGCTTTTTACGCGTAAGAACGTCGTTTATTTTTTCAACACTTGTCTACCTGGTGAATGCATCTTTTATCCTACGAATTTGAGAACAGGTGTAAACAGAAGAAGCATGTGGGATGCTTCTAATTTTCGAAAAAAATATCATGATTTAACAACAAGTAGGAAGAATTCATTCTTTGGTCCAAAAATCATCATTGATCTGAAAAGCTATTCCAGTAAGAGTGTACCTGTCGCATGCACATATACAGCATACAACACTTTTGACACATTAATAGCTCTACTTTTTCCGGTTTCGTATTTTAGGAGTACAAACGACATTTCGTCCACGAACATAATGTTGTCTTTTTCAAGCTATGCCGAAAAACTAAGAGCAAAGCTGTTCAAGAAAAAGTTAGAAGATTCAGCAACTGAGACGACTTCTTCTAATAATGAAGCTTTATTAGAATTATCTGTTTCCCTTCATAACGTAACTTCATCAAAGGTCACATTTGCCTACAACACTACTTCTAAAGCAGCAAAAAACGATATACAACGTCGTCGATTCTTCGATCGCGAACAAATTAATCTTGAATCACATCAGTTAGTGTGGTTAGGTCATTTGGTAACGTTAACAATTGAGAATCTTCGAAAAGTTATTGATTATGTTAAAGTGTTTGATAACGCGAAAGAATGTTTAACATACATTGAAGAAGCAAAATTATCAACAATCTTTTTAGTAATACCATCCAGTGAGTCAGGTGAACTTTTTATTTCACAAATTACTGATTTTAAAAATATTTGGTCTGTTATTGTCTATGACTTTGAGGCGAATCATTCCGAGTGGATTTCAAATCATTCAAAGGTATGTTGCATTTACTGAAGTTACTACAGAACTCTGTGAAGAATCATAAAAAACTGCCTCATTGAGTCAACAAAATAAAGATTTCTTTAACGTTTTTCAAACCGAGATAACAAGTAATCAGGAGTATCTCAAGCGGAAAGGGAGTGATCCCCCAATCTTCGGAAGTTTTTCGTTTGTTACTTGATGATTTACGAAAACTTTTCGAAAAATCTTGGAAAGTTCCCAAAAATTTTTTGAAAAGTTTACACAAAATTCCAAAAAGTTGTCGATGCTATAATTTTTGCCACCTCGCGACACTGCCACCTAAAAACATTTGTAAAAGGCTGTTCCCCTGCCTGTTGATGATATATACACGGAGCGTTCAAAAAGTTTCCAAACTGATCATTTAGAACAGCAGCCACGACCGGTTTCGAACTTGCTTTCTATTCATCATAACCATAAGGGTTACGAAAAAACCGAATGTTCAACTACTAGTTCGAAAACTAGCAGAGAACCGGTGTTAATATTGCATGACTCCAATTATGGCTATGCCGTCTAATGAGACCCTTCAGCAAGGTCGAAACCGGTCGTGGCTGCTGTTCTAAATAAGGACTATTTCTTGGGAACATTTACTCTGAAGGACATTTTTGCAAGGACATTTTAGGATATATTCAGAAATTTTATCACTGACAAAGGGAGATCCGCAGATGTGCCTGAGGTTTCAGTTGAAACTGCGTGGGTTTAGCTACATCAAGTATCTTAATCTCAAGTATGAAACAATTAACGGCTGAGACTGTGTTGGTGGAAATTACAGCCAAAATATTGTCCAAATAATTGACATCTATACTTATAAGGAAAGTTCCCCAAGTGTGACTTGCTGATGAAGCTGATATTTTGCTCACTAGTAGGATCCGATCAGACTAGTGCAAACCTAAAAACATTTATCGTCGTACTCTACTGTTCTTGAGCTATGACTGTGTTAATGTATTTTTTTACCTCTGGAAAAGTATATTTGAAAAAATCGACTTGGGAAATTTTGACCTGAAATTTCGTCCATAGGTAGGTTACATGGTCATTAGAATGTCGGACAAATTTCAATCAAAAAGCTCGTTTTCTTCTCAAGATATTGAATACCCAAACAACGATTGTATATCACAAGAGAGGTCAGAAGATTAAGTTTCTTCAACCTTCAATATCTTGAGAAGAAAACGAGCTTTTTGGTTGAAAGGACACCTGTCCATAGGGTCACTTTTCTCTTCCGAATATTTTCAAGAAATAATTATATGGGTGTAACAAGGTTGATATGTGCTACAAATCTAGCATAGTCATTTTCCTAGAAATCACTTTCGGTTTTTTGACCGCTGTACTTCCTACGGGATTTCGAAAACATTTTTCAAAATTTATTTGTTAAAACTACCTGGTACTATCAAGTGGAATATGCTGATTATGGATATCACTATCTTAGAATTCAAAACTATAGTCCTGGAAAATTAGACCATTTTTTTGCTCTATCTGGATTGTGGGATTCAAACCGGATTTTTGAGAGAAAATATTTTTTGATAAAATATATGTTGCTTGATGTAGATTGTGATGCTGATTTTGAATATCATATTTATTTTGCATGAAAATTAAGTTTTGGTAGTCGAAATCTCGACATACAAGTGAAAATAAGGAATTTTGCTGGTAGCTCATGATTTTCGACCTGATGTCGGCCTTTATTAACATTTTCGATTCCATATTTGGATAGTACATGAAAAACTGCATCGAACTGATATAGTCTCACTTAAGCTCAAAAGTGTTCAGTGTATTACGAACACTAGAAAAAGGGACACAGATAGTTATTATATTAGGATTCTAGTCCTATTTCGCTGTCAAAATCAGTAAGAAGTCAAGCAATTTTTCTTTTCATTTAGATCAAATGTGTTTGCAAAGATCCTGACCAATTATTATGTGATTTGAAAGTAGACGTCTTACAATATAAAAAGTATAAAAATAATGGAATTTTTAATGATCCTGGAAAAGAAGACAACACAACGGATGATGCTATTGAATCTTGGTGGATAACTTATATGAATGTTCTAATTTATTTATCATATCCAGATAGATTTCATCATAAACTTGTTGATTCATTAAGAACTTATTACGATGGTAAAGAATCAGAATTAAAAATTCTTGATGAATTTGAGAAAGAATATAAACCAGATAGAGCTGTTTGGTGGTATACACGTAACACATTTCTCTATAGTATTTTAAATCGTGCACTTCGTCAACATAATATTGAAGTGATGTTTCTCTTTGGTTTCTTTGTACAAGATTTGTATAGGCAAGTACAAACAGAATATGAAAGACTTAAACTACGACATTCAACAGAACCGAGAATTAATGTCTATCGTGGGCAGATAATGTCACGCAAAGAAATTAATGAACTCAATAGTGATTTCAACATTATAAATAACGGTTTACTTTCCACTTCCCCAGATCGTCAGTTGGCACTCTTTTTCCTTCCTGAAGCTGATCAAATGGAAGATAGTAGTTATGAACGTGTTCTATTCGAAATTGAAATTGATATTCGTCGACAATCACGTCCTTATGCCGATATTTCACATTTGAGTCAATTTTCAGGCGAATTAGAAATTTTATTTATGATGGGAACACCATTTAAAATAGTAAGACAAAATGGTATCAGTTACGACGAAAATGAAAAATTATGGACTGTGAAATTACAATTAACACGAGATGAATTTTTAGTAGATGATAGAGTCGTTGAAAGTTTGACATGTGATAGTCAGCGATTAAAAATGTGTCTAACTCCCTTGTCTGATAGTTTGCAGTTTGCATCGATCGCAGATATAAACTTAATTTTTGATATTTTTTGTGATTTATATCCACAAGAAGAAAAATGGATTAATGCACTTCGATTTCATTGTATCGGTCGATATCAGTCTTGGCCCGAAAACAATATTATAGCAGCATTATCTTATTATAGTAAAGCATTACAGACTTGGAATAACGAGTCAAACTATTGTTCAATTAACATTGGACAAATTCACCATGACATCGCTCGTTGTTACTCAAAGGACGTAATTAGAAATTCAAGTATGTCCTCAAAATCTTTCAATTTGGCTATAGAATCTTACATCAAAGCAATTGGAGAAACAACAACAGAAATTGAACAAATAGACATATATGAAAAATTGTCTCAACTCTACATGAACATTGGTGATAATCTAAACGTAATACAATACAAAGAATTACAAGTTCAATATACACTGAAATACTATTCATCAATTGATGATGAGAAATGTGCTATTAGCCTCAATTCTTTAGCTTTCCTGTATGAAAAAATAAAAAGATATGATAATGCTCTAACTAATTATGAAAAAGCTCTAAAAATTCTTTTAGAGTCAATCGTCAGTCATAGTTCGTGGTGGATTATTACCATTTGTAACAATTTAATTAAGATCTACAATGAACAAAAAGATGATTATAATTCGACATTAAAGTATGAATTGATTAAAAATGAATATGTATTGAAAGACAATGAAGGAACAAACGATAGTACGTCGTAATTTTAAATGATTCGAAGTTACATCAGCCTATTTGATATTTATATTTAAGTAAATCTATTGTGTTTTTCATAACTTCCAATCATAATTTAAGGTTTCGCATCATACTCACTATTCATGTATATCAAACTTGTCTCGAAATAGTTTCTAACTCTTTTTTTTTCTTTCATGTGTCTTGTGAACATAATTTCACAAAATTTGAGATGATCTTACTACTGTTTGCACTTGTACATAATGTGCTTTATGTTCGACAAGAAGAAAATCGAGTGATAACTACCGTTCAACCGTAGAAAACGTTAATTGAGCTAGTCCTATATTTCCAAAACCTTTGAGCACTGTTCTGCCAATTCTCTTTCTTCCTTTTAATTAGCTGCAGGCAATTCAAACTTCGAGTAAAAAGTTTTTTTCGCCTTTTTTCTACACCATTTGATAGAGCGTGAACTGCTGATCACGAAAATCTACTTTTTAGCCATAGCAAATGCTTCCTTCCGGTCGAAAAATACGAAATACTCGAGAGATGTCGTTTTTCGAGAAAAACACATCCTTTTCGAAATGTGCAAAATTTTCTACTTTATTTTTTTTCCAGCTCAAACTAATTTTTTCAGATTCAGTATCAAAAACTGAGTACTGAGACGTTGCAAAAATGACCCTAGACCCAAAACCCTACTGGTGGTGCCGCTTCGAATCGCGTGGAGTGCACTACGTACAGGTCGATTTTGTAAACCTATCTAGTTTTTCTACGTATGTGATACAGGTAAATATTTTATCTCATTCGAGTCATCATACCGCCAGTTACAAAGTTACGCCTTGACTACCGCCTAAAATGACTATGATATCAGTAAAAACGATTTTTCTCAACACAGAAAAGGAAAGAAAAAAAAGGATACGTAACTTTGTAACTGGCGGTATGATGAGTCAAATGAGATAAAATATTTATCACATAGAAGTTTCCTTAAGGCAAACGCAAGTTAGTTCTGGTAGTGCCGGAATCTTGGTGTACTTGTGTCGTGGTGCCGTTAAGATGCAAACATTACTTGAAACTTAAAACTTCGACTATAGCGCCATCTTTTCAATGTTTTCATCAAAATAAAGAAGCGGATCGCTTCACTAAACTTCCATTCGATTCTGTTTCTCAAAATCTCAAAGACATAAACTAGTAGATAAAGTAGAAGACAATCACCTTTAGTTTTTCATGTGTCTCACTTTTGAAAGAACCGTTGTTTACGCAAAAGCTTTTTGGTTTTTTTCGTCATAAACGGTAAATTTTCAAGTGTTTTAGCGACATTTTTCTTTGAAAAAACTCACAAAAGTTGCGCGCATGTAGAAAAATTAAAACTAAGAATTATTCTCCGAAAAGTCGTCGATCCTTCTACTTTTCGACCATCTTGAATTTTAGATACTGAAAAACACTCTCGTAT